TTTGCAATTTTCAAGCCAAGCTCTGAGGTTCTCTAAACCAGTTTGGTCATTGGATCAGCTGCTGCCTTACTGCAGCTATCCTGGGCTACCGTGAGTCTGGGGCATTTACCACTACTTGAGATCTTTGAACTGAATGAAGGTAAGCAGCTACCAACATCAGGTGATATGCACAGGCTTGTAAGTAATGGCTGGATATTGTTTTGAAAGAGATTCTAATTGTTCAAATCAGTCTGGGAGTCATAGAATAACTTGTGAGTAGTGCAGCAGCAGCTATATTAATTTTATTGGCCTGTGCCATTCACATTATAGGAGGTGATAATTTGTCTTCCCAAATTCAAGAACTGTTAACAACCTTAGCTGTTGTAGGCCAGGCTGAGATTGGATAGTTAAACCCGAAAAAAAGGTGCATGTATAAAGTTTCTCCTCATAACCTGTGACTGTTAGTAGGAGATTTCTACTTTAATAAATAATAAATCTACTTTGTCTATAACAAGTAAAATGTACTAAAAGTGTAATAAAGTGCATCTAAATTGTAGAAGCCACCTAAAATTAAAAGAAAAATAAAAAATATGCACAATTTAAATAAAACAAACAAGGGAATATGTGATATAGAAAGAAACTAAGATATGTGGACCCAACAGAAGTCATACTTTAGAAGAATCTTTGTGAAACTGAACAAGAAAAATCCTTAAAAATATGGGGAGCTACACTGAAGGAAACATTCCCTCTGGCTCTTGAGGGAGGTAACTGATAATAGGATGGAGCTGAATCTTTGGATGGTGTCTTTGTGATGAACTGAAAATCTGAGTGTTCTGTTTGTTCTGGTACAGCGTGACTATGCCAGAAGCATGTTAGGTTTTATAGGAAAAGAAAATAGACAGTTAAAAGGAAACATAATAGTGTAATCTGTTCACTGTCTAGGTAAGTAAAAGACTTCTGGCAGTTGCAGAGAAAGTAATGTACTTCTAAGAATTTTGGTGCTAATTGGAGTTGTGTGTATATGTTAAAATGATGATTAATCAGTGGTGATAAGGAGACTTTCTGGTAGTAAACATGATGTTCTGAACGTGCAGCTTGCTTGAAATGCCATGATTTCATGGGAACACGGAGCAATCCTGCCAGAGACGTGCCTAATATAACTGTATAGATAGTGTTAGATTGATAATGGGCATTTGTTCTCTTTATTTTTAACCTATTTCTTATCTTTTTGATGCATATGCTTTTCAAATTAGATATAATAATGTCTATTTTACTTTTTCTGTTCCAGCGAATTCGAGATCTAGAAGATAAAATAGAGCTTCAAAAGAGGCAACTCAAAGAAATTGAGGAAAAGGTAAATAAATGTCTGGGCAGTACCAATGGATTGCTTCTCTACAAATTTACTTTTCTGTGTTGCATTGATGTTAGTACTGTTTAACCTAGTATCATGAAATTTATTTAAAAGCAAGATAAAATTTGAGTCACTGCTGTGTGAAATGATGCTCTTTCTCTAATCTGCTCAAAATTATTTCCTATCCAGATTTTCCACCAATTACAGGAAGGCATTAAGGGGTCTGGAGAGACACTAGACTAGCAGAGGAAGGATTTGCTGATGTTTAGATCAAGAAAGAACATAAAGATTTGTCTCTGACAGATTTGGTTAGCTCAGCCCTATTCTTTGGATAGCATTGCTTTGCCAAATTTTCAAGTACTGAAAATAAAATAAAAAAATAATAAGATACCAATGACATAATCTACTCTCAAGAATATTTCTTACACTAAGATAGAAACAAATTAAACCCTGGGTCCAAATTTTCTTGTCTTTCGAAGAATTTCTGATGAAAGCTTGAGACTGCAAATATATTTGTGTCACTGTGGTTCCCAAGCAAGGGATGGCACAAGCTTTATGGGCTGTGAGCTCAGGAGTTTCCCCAGTCTGTGGAGTTTAGGCTGCTCTTCAGTGCATGGGATGACAATGGGTCTTTCTCTAGGCCTCAGGAAAGTGTTTTAGTTTGTTCTTTTTGCTGAATCAGTGCCTAGGTACCAGCACAAGTTACATCATCTCAAGTTAATTTTCCCCAACATTTATGGAGACCTGATCCTACATAAACCACTGCTAGGCTGAATGGAGAAGTTAGGGAGTTTTCAGCAGTTTTTTTTCTTTTGGGATGAGAAAGGGGTGAAAGATGAAAGAGGTCAATGGGTCTTGCAGAACTGAGAGAGTCGTTGTGGACCAGCTCACTGGATGTTGAAAAGTTTCCTCCTCACCCTTCTCTAGTCCCACTGTCCCATCATTTGTCCTCCCAGTGTCACCCTCTTCCTTGTCCCCTTATGCTTCCACATTAGTTATCTGCCCTCTGCTGTGCCTTGTCCTGCACTTTTCAAACTGTGATATCCAGCTGGGTTTGTGGAAGAGCCAGGAGAAGAGCCATGAGAAACTGTGCTGGGTGCTGCTGTTTCCACTAGCAGAGAAACACAGGAATCATCCACTCCTAAAAGGGCTCTTTTGCCGCCTTTGCCCTTTTCTACCCCAAACCACTTCTATAGCTGAAGCTGTTCCTGCCTAGCAGTCAGTAATGTCTCATATCAAAGCAGAGAAATGCTGAGGGATAGATGATACTTCTACATGTTAATTATTTCAAATATTAGTGTTTATCCACCTACTGTAAAACATCAACATCTCTAGATGTTGCTGTTGTCCAAATATAAGCCTTTAAGGCACTGCCATTACAGTTTACAAATTAGGTATTGGATTAGGGCAGACTGACAATTTTGAAAATGGAAGATAGCATTATCTCTACTGGTTCACCAGCTGGATGGATGGAAAAAAGCATTAGAAAAGAAACAGCTTAATCACAAGCTTAGCAGAAAGCTGGTAATGAGTTAAAATGATTAACGTCCTCTTTGCCTTAATGTTGCATTAGCAAGAGACCTCAAAAAAGCTTCATCTTTTTCGATTAACCTTCAACTTCTGAATGGGTGGAGCACTTCTTTTTATCTGTATTACATTTGAATTATTTTTTTCCCTCAGGATTAAATCCCATTGTGAATTTGATTGACCAAAGGAAGATTGTGTTGCCAGGGAATCAGTGAATTATATACTTTTACTTTATTGTTCTTCTTAAGGTTTAATGTGTCAAAGGGCACAAACTGACACCTACATGCTACTGATACTGAGCACGATAATTTTGTGTGGAGAGAAGTCTTACTCTTTTCAATGAATAGCAGTATTTATAGCTGAGCCTCATCACTGGGGGTAGCTAAGGGCTGTGCACCACTTATGGTGTAATGAGTATGACTTTTTATTTTGCTTTACAATGACTTCAACTTTTATGTCAAATCAGAACACAAGGATGGCAGTATTTCTGCCCTTTAGATTCTTCAGCAAACTGTTGGACATACAGAAGAATAATGTAAAATCTCAATTTTAGTCTATGAGTTGATATATGAGGAACAAGTGCTGTTTAAACACATCATGCTTTTCTCATAAGTGATCCTTTACCATTTCAGCTGCACTTAGTTTGTGTCCTGGGCTTGGTAAGTCTTGGTTTAGGACAGCTTTCATGTGTGTATTTATAGGTACTTCCCTAAGTGGTGCACAAAGCCAAGCCTAGTATTTCTCAAGTTAAATACTCCACAGATGCCTTTATTGTAAAACTGCCTTCAAATACTGAATTTTGTACCCTTTTTAGAGTAAGATTGGTATACTTATCTTTCTTTTGGATCAACTTAATTAATGATATAAGACTAACTGCTGTAATGTCATTGGATTTCATATTACATATCTTACATCTTCTTTCTTTTCTTTTTTCCTCATTTTCTTTTGATCTTATGTTATAGTTTTTGTTCCTTTTTTTGTTTTTTTCACTAGCATTCATTCTGTGGCCTTGATGACACAACTGAGCCAAGATGTGTGGTTGGTATTCTTTATATTTCTTCATAGTCAATTTTTAACTCTTAAATTTGGCCATGTTTTGAGAATTGTTTGTAAGACCCTGAAACCGTGGGGAAGGGCATACTGGTTTTGCTTGCACAGAGGGGAAGAGTCTCCTATAAAATCCAACTTGGATGCTTTCCATCCTAGACTTCTGCAGAAAGTCCCTGGGTTTTCAATGAGAAATGATTTTGCATTCTAAGATGCTGACTGCTGTAACTGCAGTGGGTGCTTTTCATTTCTGCAGCACAGGTACATTTTGTCTCAAAATTCAGGTATTGCTGTAGGATCCTGCCTTCTCTCACTCTGGATGGAGAAGTGGCAAAACATTGGTTTTCAATTTTTTTTCCTAAAAAGTCCTCTGAGTATCACCACCCATGCAAAAAAAAAGGAGTTCCTTTTACTTCCTCAAGATCCTTCAGGCCATGAAATCACTTAGGAAATAATGACCTATTTTCCCTTTTATGAGGCGATGCAAAGGTTGCAATGTGACTGCCCCCCATGTGCCAGTGCAACATGGAAGGGGTGAGGGTAAAAAACCTCTGTGCCTCTCCTTTGTGACACTACCATCATTCTTGCTGTCCTTTCCACAGTGTCCTGATCCTTTCAGCTCAATGCAAAGGACAGAGTGAATTTCTCCAGCTGTAGGAGGAGCCATAGTGGCAGTGCTCACCTTTCACAGAGAACAAGAGGGAAATACAATTTAGAAAATAGGTCCCAGTCCTCTTCCCTGGAGCAATGCAAGTTGCACACTGCCTTTCAGTAAGGATGGTAACTCAACAACCTGTCAGAGGATTAAGATGTGATTTAAAACTACTGAATGTTATGCAGTGTTTGTGTTGTTACTGTTGTTGTGTTTTGTTTTGTTTTGTTTTTAACTCGACAATACACAATGCTTTTACCTTTACAATTTTTCCAAGTTTTTTCTTCTTTGTAAGAATGTTGGATGCCAACACTTATTTTTAAAGTAATGTTATTTATCTAAAGCTCAGCAGACTTTTTCTTTTCTTTGTTGTTTTTGTTTTCTGTTTTGGTTTTTGTTTTATTTACAGGCTATTAAAAGAACGTATGGAGTGAACAGCTGAGTCCACTTGCAAAAATACAGAAAATATTTATTAAGCAGCTTTAAATTGGTGCATTTTTTTCATAAAGCAGTTTGCATAGTACTTGAAGCTGCAAAATATTTGAATTTAAAATTAGAGATTTTTTAAAGGTATAGCTTCAAGCTGGAATGATTTCATAATCAAATAAGGACCAGCACATCATAAACACTGAAAAAAATCTAAACAGAATTTACACTCTCACACCAACCAAACAGCAGAAAATAATACAAGTGCAATTACTGGCTGCTATGGGAACTGTTATCCACCAAATGGTTTTCTTACAGTACTGAGATTTTTGTCTCCATACTGCATGCTTTCAACAAATGTGGTTTGCATTTCACCCAGGAAACACAGGATCTCCTTTTTAATATCTATATAAAAAAACCTAAGCGTTTGACATTAAGTTGTCTATAGTAAATAACTGACAGGAAGCAAACTGTTCAAAGTTGGAAACAAATAAAGATTTACGACCCTGCAGTGGTAAAATTCATATTAAATTCATAAGTTGGAAATCCACAGAGGGAGAAAGGAAGGGTTTTGGCGAAAGGCAAGATGATAGATTGAACTAAGAGAACTTTAAATTGGGCAAGAACTGTGTGGGAAATATGATTTTTTGAATGTTTCTTCTGAAATAAGGCAAACTTGTAAAAACAGCACTGGGGACATGGAAGATTCCAAGGTGGCCTGAGAGGTCAGGAGAAGAGAATGAGTGATGTGCTGTGCTCAGTTATCTCTTCAAGAAACAAGAGGGGCTTGAAGAAATAGGCCTGTTGGTGAATGGGATAAACAGAGACATAGTTGGATATAAATATTTGGAAATCATGGCATCCTCTCAGGTGAAATAAAAAAATGTTGACATTAGCTACCAGGAAGCAAAAATGGCACAACCTCAACTGGCAGAGGTAGATAAACACTCACGGACATTGACCACCTGAACTGCAAGAAAACTTTGGGGTGAAGCACAGAGACTGAAATAATGAAAGCTGAAAAGAGCTTTTTAAGAGAGAGAATGGTTAGAAAATTAATAAAGATTACTCTTTCAAAGAGGGAAAAGCAAATCGAAGTTTCAGAACATGAAAGGCAACATGAAGAAATAGATAAAAAAAATAATGTTGAGGCAAGCTGAAAATATTAAGAGCACAATATTAGAAGATAACTTTCTCCTTCCTCACATTTTTTTGAAAATCATATTTGTGTAGAAAGCCACAGAGAAACAAGTCTACTCCCATGGACATACTGAACTCCAGCATGAACACAGAGTGGAATTAGATGGTTACAATAATACCACACATGAAGTAGAAATTACAATTGACAAAAATAACATAAGGCAATGAACAATTAAGGAAGGACAAAGAAGGCTGAGGGAAAATTTTGTCACAGCAACTGATTTTCTCACTGCTGAAGGTGCAGGCATCAGCCTCAGGAATGTCCAGTTTTCTCAGATAATTATCAGTCTTTGAAGACCAGAGGTGTACCCTCCACAAAGAATCACCAGACAAAAGCGTTTACCTGCAGAAGGTGCTGAGACACTCCTCAAGATTAATTTAGTCAAATGCAGCAAACTGTGGCTGATCTGAGGGTCTGAATAACCCTGTTTCCTGCTGGAAAGCACAATCTACCTTGGAAACAAGGATCATGCAGAAGTCTTGACCTCCAAAAGAATGTGTTGCTTACAATGTGTTTTTCAAAAGGAACAAGCTTTTAGAAACTGTGTTTTCAAATAGAGATTTTTCATGTTTTAGTTAAGGCTTTTAGCAGTGTAATGACAGAATGGAAAAATGAGATCTTCACTGCAAAAGGCAGAATTCTGGCATCACTCAAGAAGAGGACCACAACAGGAGATAACCAGAGCTTGAGATAATCAAACCCAGTGATGACGAAGAAACAGAAATTCGAAAGTGTGGTTCACTTGGCAAAGAAACACTCTTCTCATAGGCACAGTTTTGCTCATCACTACTTTGGATATGAAACTATAAGCACAAACATAGGATTGTCAGAGTATGTGGCTGCCACAGTAAGCACACTGCACAGACAGGAGAGGATCTTCTTACAAAGCAGAAAAGGTATGAGCAATTTCTCTTTCTTATTTTATTATGTGATTGACTACATTTTAATTGACATGTGACAGTTTCATTGACATCAGTTAAAGAATCTAGCTGATTGGGGTGATATTTTCCATTGCATTTTTCTGTGCTGAACTAGCAGGATTCATAGTTTTGGAAAACAGAGTATATCATTACAGTCTTACTATTCACTGTATACTGGTATTTATTATAGAGCTGGGAACAGGTACAGGGTGGACAGGCATTGGAATAGGCTGTCCAGGGAAGTGGTGGCATCACCATCCCTGGAAGTGTGTCAAAGCATGTGAATGTGGCACTTGGGGACATGGTTTAGTACTGGACTTGGCAGTGCTGGGTTAATAGTTGGTCTTGATGCTTTTAGAGGTCTTTTCCAACCTTAATGTTTCTATAATTCTATGATTCAATCCATACAAGATGATGGGCCTGATTTTCACTTTCTGTGACACAGCTTTTAAATCATCAATCCCAGCTGTGTAAATGAAGAAAGAAATTATAAGTTTCTCATTGTTGCTGTCAGTTCTAACAACTTTCCTGGTTGCAGGTTCCTTTTATGCTGCAGAACTCAACAGTTTTCAGGGTGAAGCAGCAGAAGCACGGAACCTGATGGTGTGAGATCAGCTCTAGAAATTGTTGTATTAACTTTCATTATATGAGTGAATAAAAGACCACCTATAAACAAGAACATGTACTAGAAATAGGAGAGCAGAAATCAGTATTGTAATGATTTTGCCAGTTTTTTATTCCTGCCTTCATCCTCACTGCTTTTGTCCACTGGTTACTTTCTGCAAAATATACTGCTAAGAATTTTTCTTTTTACAGCTTATGAGTTGAATGTTAGGCTGGGGCACAGTTGAAAATTACATTAATTTGTCTTCCATCGTAAATTGTTAATGAGAAGACTAACTATGTCCACTATTATTATAAATACCTTTTGCAGTGCTGTTCAGGGATGACCATTGTCAAATAATAAATACAGACAAAATATTAATGTCTCAGGGAACTCTAAATTGAAGATACCATTCTACTTGGGAAATTATACAGGCCAGGGGAAAGCCATGATTATGTTAGCAGGTCTCTGAGAAGGGACTGGGCTTTGTAGGTCTAGAGGTCACAAAGTGGTTTGAACTTTGTTGTCCACATGGATTTCTTCTTTGATGTCTTTCCTCACTTGAAGCCTTTGAGTATCATGATTTCACACAGGACCGAGGAGTAGCTGAATCATTTAAGCTCCAGGTCCTTTTGTGGATAAGGCCAGTGAGTTGATAAAATTGACCAAAATATTAAAACGTAGTGTAACTGGCCCTATATGTGAATAGCACATAAAAAAACGTGGGGTGATAAGAGAAGAACTGTTTGTTCAGTCTTTTGCACTGATTTTGTGCCATTTTTTACTCCTCAATGCCAAAAATGTTACTTGTATCTTCATCTTTGCACTGTATATTCTGCTTTTGTCTACCAAAAAAAAAAATTTTTTTTACTTAAATTTACTTGCATTATTTCCTGGAGAATAAATCCAAACTCCATGGACCAATTACAGGTCCAATTTCAAATCACAATACAAATGTAGCAAAATCAAAGATCAAAGGCAATTCACAGATGCCAGTTGGTTGTGGTTTAACCCAGCTGACAAGTAAGCACCATGCAGCTTCTCACTCACTCCCACTGGTGGGGAGGAGAAACAGAAAGAAAAGGTAAACCTCCTGGGTTGAGATATACAGTTTCATAATTGGAACAAAATATTTCTATGGTAGTATACTAATGTTAATATAAATATGCTAATATAAATATTCTAAAATATTAGTAGCAGTAGTAATAATAAAAATAATAATAGTAATAATAGTAATTGTAAGGAGTTGGAGAGAAAGTAACAGGACCCAAGAGAAACAAGTGTGCTGCACTGTACAGTTTCTAAGGTGTGGAATATCCCTTTGGACGGTTTGGATCAGCTGTCACAGCCATGATCCCTCACAGCTTCTTGTGCAGCTCCTCACTGGCAGAGCATGAGACACTGAAAAGTCCTTGATGTAGAGTAAACACTACTCAGCAACAGCCAAAATATTGCTTTGTTATCAGCATTATTCTCGTACTAAATCCAAAATACAGTACTATACCAGCTACTAAGAAGAAAATTAACTCTGTCCCAGCCGAAACCAGGACACACATAAGACTATACTTACTGAAATGAGTTTCTGTAAATAAAGGTGAACTCAGGCTGAAGAATTTTTAGATCTATGGCTAAAAGAGGCGAAAGAAAAGGACCAAACTTAGCTTGCCTTCTCAGGTCCAAATTTGAACGTTCCTTTTAGGCATGGTTTCATAACCTCTCAGAGGTGAAGTAGATATAAGTAAAATACTGCAGGGAGAACTCCAAATACCAGTTAAATACACTGAATGTTTTCTCTGAAGTAGTCATAGAATGCCTTTTGAATAGGAAATAACCTCTTTTAATCTTCTGTCTTGAAACAATAATAATAATATAAAGCATTTATCCAAAATAAACATACTTGGTTTTATGAACTTCCTATTTAGTAAAAAATTATTCTCTTTTCAAAACTTTGATGCCTAATTCCTTTATTAATTAGTCTAACTGAATCTTTTATGGGGGATCTCATGAACAGCAACTCCTTTCATACATGCTAATGGGGCTAATGAAATGAGACTTTCTCATAAATAATAAATGTGTTCAGAATCAAGAAGGACTGTTCATTTGATCATCAGAGGCTTAGACTGTTACTGCATGCTTAGAGTGCAGTATGTTGTGAACCTGATAACGGGAGTTTTTTCATCATGGATCCTTCATCTGGAAAAGAGCAAGAATTTTGTTACTGTGTTAAAATGCCCAGCAATGAAAGATTTGATATCCTGAATTTCAGTGTTAAAATTGCTACTTCCTGGATTTTCCAGGAGTTACAAGATGCAAGCACACCTGAGGGAAAAGTAAACAGTGCTGGAGAAGAGAACTTAAATCTCAGGATAAAAGAGCTGGAAAAGTCAGAGCAAAGCCTGAAAGGTGTTCTAGAGGACTACGTGGAGTCAGATTCTATCCTAAGACATAGGTAAATAAAAGGGAGTTTTGCATTAACATTTATTGTGATGTAACAAATGTACTCTTCCCTTTGCCCTAAGTACTGGCTATACAAATGATAATGCAAAACCAGCAAAAACATAGACTTCTTGTGTTTTTAGAGTGCCTGAGAAGATGCATGTATAAGCGTTTTGTGTAGCTGTCAGAATAGAAATGCATTATTCTTTTTTTTAAGAATTGTTGTTTAAATAAGGTTTTCGGCATGGTCTAAAATGTTGTTACAAATAACCACACACCTTTCTCAGGATACTGCATTCTTAAATATTCATAAGGTGTAAATTCTGTTTGTGAAGTTTACCCCTTTCCTATTAAAATAGGAGTTAATTTGGAATTTTGTGTTGTAAAAAAAGTTCCTTGCTTCAGAAAGCTTCATTTAGTTTAGTATGTTAATGCTAATCATTAAAGTAGATAAAGGAACCATTACTCATTAATTATACATTTGACTAGGATAATTAGGTTTTGATAGTCAGCAAACACACTGTTCTAAAGAAAGTCAAAGATTTTAAAAGTAAAAAAAAATAGAAATGGCATTAAAATAATTATTTGTATAATTTTTAAATTGCTTTGATTCATCAAGGATTTGTCCAGAAATGTTTTAATAATGGGCTTATTTTTTTTCAAAATAATAATGAATTTTTTTTTTTTTAAATTTCATAGGAATAAATCTATTGTAACAAAGATATCGGGGAGGAGAAGATAGGGACAACTTTATTTCAAACCAGAACAAAGACAGTGTAAAAGGGAACAATTCAAGGAGAGCAAATGAGCAGCTGAAACTTGACTGAAAGCCCATTTTTAGGGACCTTGGGTAGCCAGTAGAAAGAAAAGGAATCCTGTGCCTGGAGTTCCTGTGGCTGAAGCGCAGACAGATGAGATGAGGAATGATGTAGAAGGCAGAAACACTGGAAAGAACAGAAGAGAAGCAGAACTCAGCCAAGGCAGAGTTCTGGGCTGACATGGCCCTGTTTCCTTTGATACCAGTGTTAGATGACACAGTGCCTGCAGAGGGGAGGACCTCACCAGGTTTATTTGATACACAAACGAGCACTTATTTAATTATGTGTTTTCTATCTTGATCCTGTTTCTTCAGAAATACTTTTTTTATGTGAGATTTTTGAGTGAAGGTAATGTGGTGGGGATGTAGGTAGCAGGAAATTTTGGCGGTGTGGGGGAAGTAAGTCAAAGCTATAAGTTAGAAATGAGCAGGGGAGCTCATTGAAGGTTTGTTGAAGGATTCGTTGAAGGATTCATTGAAGGACTGTTGAAGGTTGAATGAAGAAGTTCAAGGAAGAAGTAGCAGGGTCCTGAGAGGCACTGGGGGTAAAATGTGCCTGTCTGAGATGAGAAAAGAGGCAGCTCTAGTACCTGTATCATGAGATGAAAGACTTCTAAACTTTTCCCTTAACAAGTAAGGGTTATTTTGGAATTCACAGATGTTTAAAGCATTGAGAAAATTTTGATATATAGGCTGAAAAGGGAAGGAAAGTCTTAAGGAAAACATGAAGCTTGCTCTCGTAAGATTATTTCAGATTATTCTTCCTGTGTAGAGAGAACCCTATCATATCACACTATGTCATCATACACTACCATTTTAATAGAAACAGGCAAAGCAAAGCCTGTATTTTGTCAAAATCCAGCCTTGTGGACAGTTATAGGTTTCAGTACCCACTGAAGGTATGTTACAAGTAAGATGTTATCATTTCAGTCCCTTAAAACACAGGTACTTCTAGGTTACCTGTAACATTAATTTTGATGGGAATCATTTACTACCATCATATAATTTGAACTTTCTAACTGTGAGCCTAGCAAAATCCTCTGATCAGACCCATGCAGAGACTGAAGTGTTGTGGTTGCCTTTATGCTAAGTTGTTACTTCCTATAGCAGTGTCAAGCTTCATTGAACAAAAATCTTGAATATGTGTTTGCTTGGGGTTTTCATATTAAGTCAGCAGATAGGGACTGAACATAGGTGTTGTCTTTAACAGTTTTGAGACTCTCCAGTGTATTGTCCAGACCTCAGGCTTGTAAATAATGAAACGTAACTAGTGATCCACAATTTGTTACTATCTTATTTTTGGGAAACAAATGGAAAAATAAAGATAAATTTATACATTACTGATGACTGCTTATCTATCTGGAAGTGTACTGTGGAATTTACTTAGCAAAAATCTTCATTCTCATCATCACAGGATGAAAGAGCTGGAGCTGTCACACGAGAAACTTCTTGTGATGATTGATCAGCTCAATGAGAAGTTACAAAAGGTTGAAAATGCCAATGTGCGTGTTAAAGGGAAACTGCAAGACATTCAGGAGGATCTGACCAACTTGGTGAGGAGGATATTGTTTCAAATGATCTAGTTTATTTTCTCTTTGTGGTAGTAATTTGTAAGTCAAATCTCATTTCCAGTGACCTCTCTGTTTTTAAACAATAAATTATCTCAGCCTTTCTCTTTTTCTACAAACATAGGAATCAGAAGAACTTCTGGATTTTTTTTCCTCCCCTTTCTATTTCTCTATTGTTTTTGACAGCACTGCTATTGTTTCTTTCATTCAGGTCCTTGAGCTTTGAAAAATATGCTCACACTTCCTACTTTCTCCCCAGAACCCACTCAGTGTACTCCTTCTCTTTAGGTCAGACTTTTTCTTTTTTGCCCCATACAACAGGTGTGTTTACCCAGTTTACACAGCTCATTGGATGGATCCATGAAAATGGAGAAAGAATGAAAGTTTTTCAGGGACAGTCTTCAGTGAAACAATGTGTTTCGATTCTGTTTATCATAAGATGTGCTTTCATTTTCTCAGCATTTTAGGTGAAAGTTGAATACTGTCATGGGACCATAGTACTACGTGGCATGACTCTCAAGAATTAAGAATAGTCTTTGTTTTTTTAATTAAAAGGAAAATGTATTTTTCAAGACTAAGGAAGCTTAGACATACATAAATTCCCATCAAGAGTTAACCAAAGTATTAGCCCACATCTATCTGACTTTGCATAACATTTCATTTTAGTGTTCCTTCTGACCAGTCCTTGCCAGTGAATGTCTCAGAAAGGAAAATACTGAAGATCACATGACTGGTCTAAAGAAGTCCTGGAAGAAATAAAGTCATGTGTTCATGTGTCTGTGCCTTCAGTCTTGCTTCAAAGTTGCTGCAGTGTCCCTGTGATACTGGTGGCTCTTACTCTACCAAAAGCAAGGGCAGAATGGGACTCATGAAATCCTCCTCTGCCTTTCATCTTTCACCTCTGTACGTCTCTGTGTTCAAACACACTGTGGTGCAAATGAAAATACCAAAGCCTTTCTCAAACTGTTTCAAAAGGCATCTGTTCCTTTCTCCTTTTTCAGCAGGTTCATAAGAGGAGCTGACAGATGACAGGTATAGTGAAGGGCAAAGGACAAAAGCTTAGTCTCTGGAAAGTGTGTGTCCTATTTTCTAAAACAGAGTCACAGTTTCCCTACCTGTAACACCTCAGTGCTAAGGCACTGTCAGCATGAAGGGTCTGTTGTAGATCAGAGCTGAATGTATGAATTCCAGTTATAAGGTTTATTTTGATTTAATATGTACTGTAGAACATACAAACAAACGTGGTTTAAAACTTCCTTTACTTTTTGTAGTAGTAGATGTGGGTGAGCTTGTGGATTTTTTCCTACTGAGGTGTTTCCATGATGGTTGAAATGACAAAACAGGTTAGTTTTGCTCTAAAGACAGGGTTTTACTAGCTTTAGAAAGAATTCTATTTATGTAATTCCTGAGTTTTTAGAAAATAAGGGCAAAATTATTGCTAAATTAGAATAAATAAGGGAAGAAGACATTTATTATTAATATGTTAACCATACAACTTACTGAAATTATAGGTTGAAAACCAAAAAAAGTCAGAGAAGAAGCAAAAGGAAAAATTGTGTTGGCTTCAGGAGCAGCTGAAGACAAAAGAAGAAGAAATCAAAAGCCAGTCAGAATATTTTGAGCACTACAAACAAAGGCAGAGACAACAGACAGCAGTACTGAGAAAGAGGGAATGTTACCTTCAGGGTGAGGTATCTAGGCTGGAAAAGCAAGTCCTAGATCTTAGTGGCCATGTTGCTCTTTTGACATCCAAAATAGAAGAGGGAATGGTGCAGCATCTCCAGCAGGTGCTGGAATCAGCATTCAGTGGGACTCAGGGTTATAAACACCCTGACATGGAAGTAGTGGAATTGAAAACTTGTATTGAAAATGTGGAGCATGATGTGAAAAGCCACGCTGAGGCATTTCAGCAAAATCTGAAGTTCCTAAGGGAAAAAGAAGAGGACCACAGAAGAGAACAGGGACACCTGCTGACTGAACTGCAGTGCTCTCAGGACAATGAAGACTTCCTCAGAACAAAACTGGAAGAATCTTACCATCATGTCTATAGTTTGAAATTATCTGAAATCAAACTACAGGAAAAAATGGAAGAGCTTTTGGATGAAAACAGAGCTTTAAAAGATCAAGGTAGAGTGAAGTTGAAAAAGAAGAAAGAAAAAGATTCACAACTTGCAAGATTGGAGAATAGAGACAACAGTGTTGACCTGCTATGTCAACTGGTAAGTAAAAATAAGATAAAATATAATTGCCTTTTGTCTTTATATCACCCTGAAGTACACTTGTCATTGGATGTGCAATCAAGATGAAAGTGTGAGGCTTTATCCTTCATGAATTTTTTTGTTTATTTCTGTTCATTCATTAGTATTTCACACTGTCTCATTCACACCCACTGGAATCAGTAGTTGGAGCTTCATTGCATCAGTGCATTTATTAGTTGCACATTAAGGGCATTTAACAAACCCTTTTTCTTTAAGTGATGTGCCCCTGGCAAAAGTTGGCAACAGAAGTAGAGCCCAGAAGAACTTCTGAGACCTCTGTCTTGTGGATACCATTCAGTGGAGGAGTACACATATGGTTGGATGAGTTTTTGCATTTTATTCATGCCCAAATGCTGAAGCAAAAAGCACAGCTGACAATAAATCTTGTCTGTGAGATTTTCTGGATAATGGTAAACAAGGGAAGATGGATACAGTGTTCATGACCGGGAGGGAGATGAGATATTCCATGGTTTGCAGCTCTGTAACATTGTGATATGCCCTGAATACACTGAATAGGACTTGTTTGCTTCAAGCACTTCACCCCAGCACTGCATGGGAAAGCTCTGGAAATGCTGTAATATGGCATTGAGCTTCTGCCAATTCATTTTGCTGACAAGAAACAATTCTTTTCACAGAGTGGACTCAAACAAAGTTTTATTCTTTATCCACTGAGGTGGAGGGTATTTTTATTCTGAGAATTTGTTATATTGAATCAGCTAAGCCTCACACTCAGCTTACTTCATTCAGATTGTGACCTGATATCCTAAGAACTCTCCTCATTTTAACTGCAGTTAACCAAGAGGTAATGGCCATGAACAAATCCCTTTAGTATAGGAGGACAACTGAATTGCGAGTACTTCCAGAACTGGGAGAAGCTAGCGAGGATCTTTAGTCTGTAAAACCTAGAGGAAATAAAGACAATTTTTTTACCCTGGTAGTTGAATGCACTTTTGCAGGTATGGTGATTTAATGGTTCTAAAGCCCCAAAGCAGTGAGCTCCGGGACATTCCCTTTGTGTGAGAGGGAAAGGGTGGTAAGATCATCTTGCAGTGACCATCAGCACATGGATGACCTTTGTGGAGAGCTCGGAAGCTGCACCTCACTGCAGCTCTCTCTGTAGCTGCCTCAAGGTGGCAAAAGACCAGTCACTTACCCTGAACCATTGCTGTAGTTACTTTAACTAGTGTATTCAATTTTTCTTGGGAAGGAAGAATACCATTTAAAAATATTTTAAGATACTTCTAGAGGGACTTGCACTGCGTTGTAAAAAGGTACAATAAGCAAATGTGCTGTGAAGGGATTGCACAGCTAAAATCAAGAGGAGTGAGGGCTTTCAGAGCCCGAGGAGTAGTGAAGAATTACTATTGGTTTGATAGAACTGAGAAAAGGAGAAAATAAGTGTGGAGATGTTTGAATGTGGATGTGTGAAAGCAGGATATATCAACTGACTAATTGTCTGAGACTAATCCAAAAAGTCTTCAAGAAAAAGGGTCAAATCTCTTTCTTTCTGTGTTGTACTCCAGTAAAGCATTATTTTTTTCCTCTACACAAAGTTTTCTAACCATTTCTTTTCTAATTATTAATTTATATCTGTGTAGTCTTAGGAAGTTACAATGTCTCAGTTACGCAGTCTTTGATATAAATGAATATGCCATAATTTGTGTTTACTGTGGTCTACTGCAGAGAAGGTAGTGTTCCTTAAATACTGTGTGTATAGCAGCAGCAGATCTTGTGCCTTTTGCATTTGTATTGGTCTTTTCCTCCTCTTTTAGTGCTACTAATATACTTGGATTTTTCTATAGAAATGGCTTGAGATAGCAGGAAAAAAAATTTCAATATCTATGATAAAAGGAGGAGGGAGACATCTGGTGTTTTTCTGTAAAACTGAAGAGGGCTTTTTCCCATTATCTATCATTTTACTAGCACCTAATAAAATAGAATTTCTTAATCTCATCACCTTGATCTTTTAGTATTTAAGTCAAAATAGTTACAAGAAAAATTCTATTGAGCTCATCATACTCCTTCAACAGTTATAAAAACGAGAAATCTTGTGCAATGCAAGAAAGATTTTTGTGGTGTTTCTTTCCTAGAAAACTGCTTGTATGACACTGTTCAGTGAATGAGTAAATGGGATCATTTACCTGTTTCACAGCCAGGAAAAAAGTAGTTTGTGAAGACAGGCTTATCGGACTCCTGTGAAATACACACAGTGTGTGATTTCTCAGTAAATACCATGTCATTCAAATGCTGGTCACATCAGTTATTCTTGTAGACTCGCCTTAGGCATTACTGGGTCTGCATTCAATAACACACCATACAGTTCGACTGAGCACCAAGAGGTGAACTGCATCTCTTGGAAGGGTGTAGTCACATAAATCTTGTCAAAAATTTGAATTTTCAAGCTTAGTATCAGAATCCTGCCTACAGTATTAAAAAAAAAAAACAAAAAACCAAAAACAAACAAACAAACAAAAAACAAAATGAAACAAAACAAAACAAAACAAAACAAACCCAACACACAACAAAAAACCAGTTGGCTCCACCTGGCTGTGTCTTGACTTATCAGACAGTTTTAGATGTGAGCATTAGGGGTCTGTTGAAGTGAAGGATAAGTATGAAACACCAAGAAGTGGATCTTCCTATGGCTTTCACATAATTGCTTAGGTCTTGATTTCACAGTGTGATGTTTTGCCATCCAAGCATTGTATCTTTTACATCATTTTGTGTATTTTTCTTTTGACAGTACCCACATGTTAATAAAGAATTGATATCTGTGAAGAAATAAAGGGAAACTTCCAGGAAAGGAATGAGTGTGTTTCAGTTAATTGGCATTAGTTTCAAATGGGTTTCCTAGAGAAGTCGTGGATGCCCTATTCCTGGGAGTGTTCAAAGCCAGGTTGGATGGGGGCCTAGCAACTTGGTCTAGTTGAATGTGTCCCTACCCATGAAAGAGGAGTTGGAACTAGGTGATCTTTAAGGTACCTTTCAACCTAAACCATTTTATGATACAATATTACTGAGAAAATAAAGGAAGAAATCTTGGAAGTGTTGTGGTTTTCATTTAAGTCGTGCCTCCCAGTCAAGATCTCATAACAGAGCACAACAATGAGGTAGCTGACTTGGGTTGAAGTAAAAATTATTCTCACTGCTGATCCTGTGGAAAATCAGTGTCCTTTTCTGACTCACTGTATAGACTTGGAGGTCATTGCCTTTCCCATCCATATGTAATTTTAAAACTGCAGCTCAGTCAAAAGGGACCAGACTTGTTTTCTGCTGGCATTTGATGCAGAGCAGTGCAGGAAGACAAAGTGCCTGTGTTGGCTCGGTTTCTGTGCTGTTGCTGTTTTGGTTACCATCTTTATTAAGTCTGTTTGTTGAGACAATCAAACCTAAGTCTTCTGTTCACTGAAAATGAACACAGTGCATGTGAAATGGGACTTGTTGTGTATCGAGAAGTAGAAGTATCTGCTTTGCATCAGGAAGTGTCACAATTTCCAAATTCAATCAGGGAGTCAAGATAAATGTCAAGAAGAGAACATGAAATTTACAATTAAATTATCAGTGGGGAAAAAAAAGTCTGTTCAGAATGATTATTCCACTTTGAATTCTTCCAGGGTAGGAACATTTGTCTTGTAGCTGGGCACTGAACTATTAGTCTCATTCCCTACTTGGTTGGACCTTCTTTTCTCTTTGTTTGAGAGAATATAAATTAGTCACAGTGTTCTACCTGTTTTCTGACATTACATGCTTATGACTCAGGTTTTCTTCTTTAACTCTTTGTAAAGTATGAAGGATATACTAGGGAAAAGTTTACAGCCATGACATTAACTAGAAAGTGTTGGAATGAGAAAATTGTCTGAAACAATAGCAATTATAATGAAATAATGGGCCTTTTGAATGTAAAATAGCAAAGGAAGCTTATGTGCCTGCTTTTCATATCCCAAACACCATATGTGTATAATCTTGGTGTTTTTTTTCTTGTCCTCTTCATTTTCCCATTAAGAATGGAGATCTAATTCAGGATGAAGTTCAAAATCTTAAATGGAGACCAGTCTTGGATTCACTCAGAAGCAGAGCTACTCAAACACCAGTTGTGCTGCTACATGCTAAAGAGTCTGGTATGCAAACAAATTGGAGTTTTTGCTTTCATTTATGTGCAATTAAAGTGAAGAGGATTTCATTCATGGGGTGTGCATGACTTAGAAGGTGTAAAACCTTAAAAAAAGCTCCGAATTTGTAACCTGTGTCTTGGAAGCTCTGATCTTGATAAATTGCATCAGGTAAATTCTTCCAACATAAATTAGTGGGAATTTTATAACAAATTTCAGTGTATGCAAATGCAGACTAACACTGAATAATTTCAGCCTCAAGGTTTAACCCATAAGTTTTCACCTACCCACTGTAATGAGATGTCTTTTCCATTTTTAAATACTTTGAGAACTGGAAAGGGCAATCCCCAAATAGACTTTATTTTAGAGCTCAATATTTATGTTTTCTTGTGACGTTTGTTTTTTTATTTAATGTTGTTCTTATGTCTGGATCACTGGTGATGTATGCTGCTGGTAAAGAAGGTAATATTGAGCATGATCTCACTAAAATATTTCTCTGTTCAAAACATCTGCTCAGATGTTTTCATCTTTGTTTTTTATGCAACTATCTGGGAGTGACATTACATTTTTCCAGTGCTTTACAATAACAGAAACACCGGGATGTAGTCATGATGGACTAAAGCAGATGGAGGAGCAACCAGAAGAACCTGTACCAGTCTGGGAAGGCAATTCCAGTGTCTTTGTGAAAGCTGCTGGTCTAGCTGAGGCTGAACAGGTGAGAAAAAGAGACATTTGAGATAGAATGAAGAGCTGGTGCATTTAAAGGTGAAGTAACTTTACCCCATAGCTACTACAGATGTTATACAAGATGAATACAGGTGTGCACTAAGAAAATCACTGACTTACTTATACCTCATTTGTATCACTACTCTCATTGCAAATCTTTAAATAATTTGCAAATTCTTTGTATGGAAAGATTTTTTCTCAACTGTCTGTAATCAAGTATTTTATGGGTGAAGTAAAGAATAAATTATGATTAGCAGCATACCTTAGCCTATATATTTCAGCTTGAAACATTTGTCATTTGCTATCACTAGGTCACCCTTGGAACAGAGAAGGCAGGAACTCTAGAAGATAGTTTCACTTTGTTTGGGTGTACCCAAATTTGTCATGCAGCAGGACTGCTTTCTCCTTACTCTGAGAAGTTATCTGATGGTGAGACAACTAAGAAAACCAAAGGTGAAGAGACCATTTTTCTCTTGAAGGAACAAGCTGTAATTCTACCAGCAAAGACATTCCCTGCTTGTGTGGTTGAAGCCTTGATGAGGAAGAAGCTCCAGCTTACTTTGTTCAAACCTGAAAGCTGCCACACATCAGCTGTCACTGCTGTGAAGAAAGTGATAAGTGTGAGTTTCTGTGAGGCAAACACTCATCTTTGGTCTTCTGGCTTCTGCATTGTTGCAGAAGGGGGATTTTATGACAAAGTTCCTGCCCTTCTTCATGGAATGTTGCCTTCCACTGTGACTGAAATTTTCACATCATGTCTAGAAAAATACAACATGGAAAAACATTGGGAAAACAAGCAAATTCTGCCAAAAAGCCTCAGTGAAAATAGATGTCTGGATAAAGTTGTTGATGATGAAAAGTATCACCAAAAAATCTCTAGAGAGAGAGCTAAAGGAGAAGAAATACAGACTGAGAAAGCCCAGCCACAACTGGTGACCTCTATTCTTGAGGAAAGTTCTAAATTTTTATATAACACTGAGTTCATCAGGCCTGAGAAGCAAGGAATGGAAGCCAAAGAGAGACTAGGTAGCACACAGGATGTCAAAAGTTTTTCTCTTGATTTTAAAGACTTAAAGAAATGTTTTGAAGGGAGTCCTGAACTAATGGAGAAAGAAAATATCTCAGACTGCATCTCTGATATGAATAGGAGATATAATGGAGAAGACACAACTGATATGGAAGAGAAAGGAGAACAGGCTCAGAAACCATCTCACCAAACAAACCCCTCCAGCAATATTGGCATGAAAGAAAAGAAAGACCAGACCTTGGAACTATATGAACCAAATGAAAAGAATTTCTCATGTGAAAAAATAGGTGCTGAAAATGTGCAATATGCATACTCTCAGAATTTTTTTTGGTCAGATGAAGAGAGGTATCCACTAAAATTACTGTTTCCTATGCAGGAGAGGGTTGTGTGCCTAAGCAAACTATTCCTCCCATGGAGCAGTTTTTATGAGTGTTTCTGTCATCTGTCACCACTTGAAGCCTATAATGAATGTAATGTGAAAATATCTGTACTGGAAAAAGCAGTGGCTGTGTGTTCTCAGAGGATATTTCTACTCATGCAAGAGAATGAAAATTACTCCAAAGAAGTCTGTATATTAAAACAGGAGAATGAGAGATATGCTCAGCTGATGTGTGCCCTGGAAGAGGAGATGGATGCGTATTTTCAGTACCTTTTAGCAGTAGATGAAGCTAACGTTGTTTCATTCCAAAACTTACTTAATGAGAAAGAGGTTTCTGGTAGATGTTATAATAACTTATCAGAAGAAAACACCATGACCCCAGGAACACTTTTAGTTGAAACTTTCTCTAAGAACCTCCCATGCATTGAAGAGAAAACTAGGAATTCTGAAAAAGACTGGTCGACAATTGCATCAAATAAACTTTCCAGGAGTGCTCTATCCCTGAAGGGAAGGAAAATGAGGTATTTCCAGCTGCTTTCTGACCTAAAAGAAGAAAGAAGCAGATGCTTCAAAGAAATAGCTAAATTATTACAAGACAAGGAGAACTATGTAGCAAAATATAATGAATTAATACAGGAGAGAGAGGAAACTTTACAAAGAATAACTCTTTCAGAGGGTGAAAAGAAAACTTTGTTGGGACATTTAGCAGAGATAAAGTGTGAGCAAGACAAATATAAGACCTTGGTTTCAGAACTCCAAGATTGCAAAACCAGCTGTTATAAAAAAATTTCTAATTTACAGGAGGAAAAATACGTACTGAAAAGAGAGATAGACAGAATCAAGAAAGAAACTTCAGAGCAGCTCAGTGAGTTTCAGAAAGCAAATGCAAACTTTATTTTAGAAAATAAAAAATTGAAAGAATTAGTGTCTTCTTTGGGTTTTACCTATGAAGAGCTGAGAAAAGAGAAAAGTTTGGGAACAAAGAAAAAGATAGTAAAACTAAAAGAAGAAAGTCAGCAACATGGTCTTAAGCCAAAGAAAGTTGAAACAGTGTGTAGTGCAACGCAAACTGAAGAAGAAGGAGTTCTGGTTATAAGTCCTTCAAGCTATTTCCCTGAGAAAGAGGTAAATAATAACAGTAAGGAGTGTTATCAAGCAGTATCTTCTAAAGAAAGGCAGAGTATAAAAGTCATTTGGAGGACAAAGCTGAATTAATTTTTTAATGCAGAAAATGCCCTAGCCTCCCACATGCTGGAGAGGTGCTAAAGTTAACTCTGAAATAGAAGGCAAAATGCCAGAGAATTTTTTTCTGAATATTGTGTTAGAGAATTTTAAAGTGATACAGCAAACTACAAAGTTAAAAATAATGCTCAGAAGAATGCGTTATTACTATATTTTTTAAATTATTTATCTTATTGTAAGAGTAGAAGCTTTTATGAGAAGCTTTTACTTCTAACCAGAAGTTTTCTTACCAGAAGAAGAAAACTTCTGTTATAACAGTGAAAAAATCATGTCTTAATGAAAAGTGTGCATATGTTCATTTACTAACTTGTATTCTAATAGGGTGTAATTTTTTTTATTGTTTTGATGCTTATGAAACACAGACCTAACGACAGCATTTTTACTCATGGTGGATTTCTCATCCATGTTTTTCGTATGTCATCATGTATCTTACACCACAGTGAATTTCTGTGGGGATTACTATGTTCTTGTAAAGGCAGAGTCATTATTTCAGTTGAGAATAAACAACATGGAAATATCTTAATTTTATGCAGATATTTTTATTAATTTAGGAGGAAACCATCTATGGCTGCACAAACATCTGTGTGCCGTTTTGTACGGGAGAGGGACGTCACATCTTTCTGTTGTCTTTCCAGGGCAGCGCATTTGAAAGCTACAGTACGATGAAAGAGCAAGTTGAAAAGGCAAAAGAAGAATTAAAGACACAGCAAAAGGAATTAGAAAAATCAAAAAAAGAGGTAACATTCTACTCCACTCTACTTCTGAGGAGCAAATTTGTTTTCCCTCATGTTTTCTTTCATGGCTGTTTTTCTTTCTTTTACAAAACAGAAAAGTCTCTGATCTGCAGAACCAAAATGTACTTCTTTGATCTTTAAGAGATGAACTGCTCAGCCACTTTTGGTTGGCCAGAACATTCAAGAGAAGCTGCATTCCTGCAGCACACTTTGACAGAAGCTGAGTGCTTAATAAAGGCACACAGGACAAACTGCCTGCTGTTCTCATGTCTGGGCAGGCTGCTTCCTACCCCATCACTGGGAATGTGGAGGAGCAGAAGCCAGTAGAAGCACTGAGGATTAATGCAAACCTGAATTCAAAGTACTTTTTTTGAATGAGGAGCAAAATCATGTAAAATCTGACACTGTCAAGGGGTTTTGCTACTTCCAGTGGCGTTTCAAAGCATTTACGCTGCTCCTTCTCTCAACAGGTCTGTAGTAAACACTGAGTCTAACACCACCTACATGAAGACTTGTTTGGATGGTTTGAACTTGAAGGAATAATTTTTTTTTAATTTATTTTGTAAAATCTGATTAACTTGGGTCCTTCTAATCCTTTTGTGTATCCCTTATTATAAGGAAATTGTGTGTTACGGTACTTTCCTCAGTTTAGTTAAAATAACGTGACGTCTTTGCTTTCAGAAGGGGGAAGAAATGATCTATCATATGAGGGAAAGAGCTTGCTGTAGGGAATCCAGCTGAGCTACTGAGGTGTTTATTTGTGGTTTTTGGTTTGGGCTGCTTTGGGTTTTTTTCAAAACTTCAGTACTGTGTATAGGTTAAATAAAAGCACCCTAGAGAAAATTAAAAGGTGAAGATATGGAGGGCTTTTTCGTTCCTTCTTTACATTTTTCATTTTTGACATTTTTGTCTTGATTCTCATGCTGAAACAAAATCTCAACACTATGCCATCTCCTAAGGAGAAAACTAAGTCTGTCCCAGCTGAAACCAGGACACGTTTCTCAGGAAGACTTCTTCCCCCTCAGCTGATAAAATCTTATTTTCATTTTTCCCTTTCAAAGAGCTCTCAAAGATTTAATCTCTGAAATCATTTGTGCATACAGCACTTCTTCTTTTACCTTTATTCAGAATACTCAGAAAATTAATCAGAAAATTATTATTTTATGCATAGCTCTAGTGATATGTGATTCCATAGGATTTACTTCTAGAATCATATTAATTTCTTATAAAATTGTAGTGTATTGTATAGTTCCATTTGTTTTAATCAATTTATAATTCAAACACTATGATGGGGAGATCAACCTCAAATCCATGGCTGGTATTGAAAAATGATACTGCTGCTGGTGTAATGATACTCTCTAATTTTTTACTTTTTCCTTCTTCCTCTTAGGCTCAGAAGTGGTACAGAGAACTTGGTTTTGCTGAAACAAGGTACGAAGAAATCAAGGCTCGTTTGACGCAGGTTCTCGCAGAATTAGATCTCCTTAAACAAGAAGCTGGGGACAAAATACTGGGAAAGCAGCACTGCAAATTAAAGGTATGTAGGCAAATGGAATGGAGAAAAGCATATTCCTTGGGAGAAACACCCATTATTGTTATTGGGAGTAGACTGGAAGCAAGTGTAGAGCCCCTGGAGCAATTGGAGCTATAAATTTGAAAGTGAGCAGATATCATACAAGATAGACCGTCTGCCTGCAGGGTAGTCCACAGTCTGGGCTCTGCATGAGCATTATAAGCACCTCACTTTTTTTTAAGGAGCACTCTTGATCTTCTGTCTTTAGCCAAAGTCTTTTTCAGGTGACCTTAGCAAGAGGTGTTGGAGGAGTCTCCAGTGTTTCCAGTATTTGAATTTGGTACCCTGATTTCAGGCCTCTTAGCCCTGATTGTTAAATTTGGACAGGCAAAATGAATCTGTGATGCCAGGCACTTTGTTGAGCAACTTCCACTGCCAGTGAACAGATGGTGTGGATTAATAGGGAGTCAAAGTCTTTAATAGATGCATGTGGCCCAAGTATGTATCCCCAAAATCCGGGAAATCTTTGTCACATGGAGGAAAGCCTCATTGGAATGTGCTTATATCACAGAAATTCTGGTTTTCTGTAGATGAAAGCTTTTTAAAGTTTCAGGTGGTTCTCTGTCTTGATATGGATTTACGTTTTCCACCAGAATAAAGTGTTTTATGGAAAGATTTTTAATTACTGAGTAATCTTCTGGAAGCAGCTTTCATAAAGACTTTTCAGCTAACCCTGAAGTTATTTCTGTCCTCCTTAACTGGAAAGCTGTGAAAAAGAAATACGCAACTTCTACCAGCTGGAAAAGCACATTTCTAACAACCTACAATATTTGCAAATTCTGTTTGAATAGGCTAGATAGAGATGGCTTTGGAAGCAAATAAAAACAAATTCTGGAAAATGTAAGGATTCTGGGATTGGTTCAGTTGCCTAAATGTCACCACTTATCCCAGTTAAAAACCTCAGGTCATCCTGGCTGAGGGTGTAGTTGTCCTCCTGGAAGTCCTATGCAGTTATTTCATGTTAGCTTGCACACCCTACGTGGCACTAGGAACTGATGTTTAAACAGCTGAATTTTGGATATTAATTGAAAAGGAAGCACAGATTTTTCATATCATTGTGATGTATTGTCATGTAGCATCTTAGAACAATAGAATCTATTTCAAGGAAGAAGAAACTCCCAAATTGTTTAAAAATACAATGTATCAAGATGTTTTGTTTAAACTAGCAATTAAGATTTTGAGGGCATTTTTGGCCAATGGAGCTTTAATAATTTTGTTTGGTGAAGTCTGGGGAAACTATCATTTATTCTGTTGGTCAATGAAGTAAGATGTTAGTTATTTCTATGACTCACTTGGGAATAAAATTCATTAACCTTGACAGTATTGCTTTTACACTGGAAAAAGTGCAGGCCAGCCTTGCTCTAAAAAACTGCCACTTTTAAATGCCTCAAATAAAGTTTTCAAGTGTTTATTGATCAGTAGTATTTATTTATGCAATATTTTGATGTTTGATTTGGATTTGGCTTCTTCAAAGGATTAATTTCAAGTTGTTGAATACATGTGTCTCATTCCAGGGTCAAAGATTCAGTACATGTACATCACGGAACTGGGTTTATCCCTCATTGCACTATTTGATGGCAGAACTAATTATCTGCATGACTCAAATCCATTAATTCTTAACCAAAGGATATTGATTTTATTGGCACAATTTAGCAAATAGTATGATTGAAAATAAAGTAGATATATTTTTGACTTTATTTCAATAATTCTCTTTTAAAATAAACTTTTTAATATACACAAAGGTGTTGACTGGGGGTTTGTGAAATTGTTAAAATATGACCTAAGTTTTTTTAGATTAAAATCAAAAAAAACGCCAAGACTTTTTGGCACAAAAAAAAAAGGTCATGATCTACTTTTCTAGCATAATTTTATTTCCTGGGGACAGTTTCATGGACTGGTAATCCTGTTTTTTGTTTTCTATTACTTGCCACCCTTTTTTTTCCATAAATCATTTTCAATTAGGGAATGTTTCTATTTTGTATGTAACATACTTTTGGTGTGGGAAAGAAGACGAGGTAAATACCATGTCACGAACTCATTTTCAGGCTTTTGTCACTGCAGCCTTGCTCTAATCCATCTTGATGTGCCCAGCAGTTCCTATTGTTCTCTTGACACAAGAGGGAGCCAATAAGTTTGGTACAAAGCATGCTCGACCTGCTGGAATGCTGTGCATAGAGGACTTGCTTCATTAGGAAGGACAGTATGAAAATGCCATGTTTCTGTTTCTATCTGTGTTTACAGTGACATGTCGAAGGCAGAGGGATGTGGTCTATCACTTCTGTTCCCTACAAAACTGTGCCTTCAGTGTGTTATAGTCACCTATGGTGTCAAAGCTGGAAAGGCTGTCAGGAAGCCAGGGAAAATTTGAGTGTGGTGCTGTGCATCAGGGCTGAGTATTAGCTCCTCTCTCGGTTGTATCAATGTTTGTAACCATTAAAATCAAACCATCTTCCTGCAGGTTTGGTCAGAAAGTTATATGGTTTTACCACAGTGTATCATGGGCCTGACTGGAATTTTTAGCTTAATCTTTTAGACTTGCTTATAGAATCATAGAATCATAGAATTAACTGGGTTGGAAGAGACCTCCGAGATCATCAAGTCCAACCCTTGATCCATCCCCACTGTGATTACCAGATCATGGCACTCAGTGCCACATCCAGCCTCATCTTAAAAACCTCCAGGGATGGTGAATCCACCACCTCTGTGGGCAGGCCATTCCAATGCCTGATCACTCTCTCTGTAAAGAACTTTATAATATCCAACCTAAACCTCCCCTGACAGAGCTTTAGCCCGTGCCCTCTTGTCCTGCTGCTGATTGCGTGGGAGAAGAGACCGATCCCCACCTGGCTACAACCTCCTTTCAGGGAGTTGTAGAGAGTGATGAGGTCACCCCTGAGCCTCCTCTTCTCCAGGCTAAACAACCCCAGCTCCCTCAGCCTCTCCTCACAGGACTTGTGCTCAAGTCCCTTCACCAGCCTGGTTGCTCTTCTCTGGACCCGCTCCAGCACCTCAATATCCTTCCTGAACTGAGGGGCCCAGAGCTGAACACAATACTCAAGGTGCGGCCTCACCAACGCAGAGTACAGGGGAAGGATCACTTCCCTGCTCCTGCTGGCCACACTGTTCTTGATGCAGGCCAGGATGCCATTGGCCTTCTTGGCCACCTGGGCACACTGCTGGCTCATGTTCAGCCTCCTGTCGATCAGCACCCCCAGGTCCCTTTCCACCTGGCTGCTCTCCAACCACTCTGTCCCCAGCCTGTAGCGCTGCAGGGGGTTGTTGTGGCCAAAGTGCAGGACCCGGCACTTGGCCTTGCTGAACTTCATCCCATTGGAATCATCCCAACTCTCCAATCTGTTCAGGTCCCTCTGCAGAGCCCTCCTGCCTTTCAGCAGGTCGACACTCCCTCCCAACTTGGTGTCATCTGCAAATTTGCTAATGATGGACTCAATCCCCTCATCTAAATCATCAGTAAAGATGTTAAACAGGACTGGGCCCAGCACTGATCCCTGGGGGACACCACTGGTGACCGGCCACCAGCTGGATCAGCCCCGTTCACCAGCACTCCCTGGGCCCGGCCCTCCAGCCAGTTCTTAACCCAGTACAGAGTGCCCCTGTCCAAGCCATGAGCTATCAGCTTTTCCAGGAGTGTATTATGGAAGACAGTGTCAAAGGCTTTGCTGAAGTCCAGACAGACACATCCACAGCCTTCCCCTCGTCCACCAGGTGAGTCACCTGATCATAAAAGGAGATCAGGTTGGTCAAACAGGATCTGCCTCTCCTAAACCCGTGCTGGCTGGGTCTGATCCCTTGTCCATCCTGTAGGTGCTGTGTGATTGCACTAAGGATGATCTGCTCCATAACCTTGCCAGGCACTGAGGTCAGGCTGACAGGCCTGTAGTTTCCCAGGTCCTCCTTGCAACCCTTTTTATATACTGTGTTATCAGAAATCTTGACCACTTATGTGTATTAACTCAGTATTTTTTTTAATATAAAGTCACAGTAGCATAAATGTTTGTCAGGAGACTTTCTTCACCAGCTGATTTTTCTCATTCTAAATCTATATGTTTAATCTGGCAGTGTCACTTCCAGAAGCTGACCTTATGATACTGACCATCAATCCAAAGCTCTCACTAATCCTTTCAATCTAAGTGCATGAAATTGGGCAGAAAAAGAATTGGAGAGTGGGGGAGGAGGAGTTAAATTCAGAAGCTTCTCTTTCCACTGTTATTACATTTTAATGTAACAAATATTTTATCTTAAAGTATTTTGGAAATTTGTTCTTAAAATCTAATTAGTTTTACTAATAATCTTCCAGAACAAAAATATATTTGTAAGAGTGGAATTTGCTGAGATAAATATATGTAAGAAAAACAAGGGTTGTATTATGTAGCTTTTTGTTGGAGCAGGAGACTGGTAACTTCTGAGTTGTCTTCTTACTCATTGTGTGACAATAGATTGGTCACTTGACCTGCCTGTGCCCCAGTTTCCCCATATATTATAATATTATAATAAAACACTTACCTTGAAGGAGTGTTGTGAAATCCCAATCCAACATCTACCCTCACAGGGGCCAAGTACTCATTGCTTATAAAGAGTTTTAAGATTAGTGCAAGATATTAGGGCTCATACATTTGTGAAGGTTTGAAGTCAGACATTTTTTATCAGCTTTCTTTTTTTTGAGTTGCAAGGTAGGTATATATATTAATTGAGAAGTTTTGTACTCTAAAACATGATGGAGAATATTTTCTTTATTTTATACATCTAATTTGAAAATCTGTGTTTTCTCTCTAGCCCGAATATAGTGTGAAAGATGCCCAGGAAAAAGAGGTGAATAAAATAGCCAATATGAGATTACAGCAGCAAGTGCTGACCTTGAAAGCTCAGCTCAGGGACCAGGCTGCATTAGAAAATCAGTTTTACGACCTGCAGAATGAAGTGGAACTCCTTAAGGCTCAGCTGTGTGAAAAGGTATCAGAGAGCTGTTTTCTGTATGCCTAACTGAGTTTTGACTTCAGATTCCACCTCTTTCTTTTCAAAGGCAAGGACCAAAATAGTCTTCTGTTCTGGGAATGAGTCTGACAATAATTAAATGGTTTCCAGGCATATGAAAGAACCCCTGACTTCAGAAAAAAAAGGAAAAGATGTAAATTGCCTGGGTGGTCGATGTTATGGAAAGATGATAGACTATCATAAAAATTCAGTCTCTGCTCTAATCCTTAGAATGTAATGAAAACAGTGATGCTGAAATTATTTACAGAGTCACTTTCTTGGTTTAAATTGTCAGGACTTTTAACATTCCCAAGTTTCTTCTTGCACTATTTCAGATTATGAAACAGTGAGCTAGTAATAGAATTGTGATAGAGTTTTCCCTAACTTTTTTTTGATCCAACTAGGGTTACATATTAAGAGTTTCATTAACATTTTCAATTAGGTGTATGAGTTGGATTTTTGGTAATTGATATAGTTATTCTGATGAGCAACCCTATGTATACACATTTACACTTACCCAAGCAGTTTTTACACTTTTGCATTATATTCACCTGGCAAAACAGAGTAAGTACATTAACATTTGCAAAGCAACTGCCTTACTGTGTGAAACCAAAGCTACTGCTGTAAGTCTGACTACAGCTACTGAACTTCTGGGTGAAAACAAATTCCTGCTAGGACTTTTTGTTCCCTTAGATTTTCTTTCATATTTTCTTGGAAACTATATTTTGAAAAGGGATGATAGTTACTATGTGAGCCAAAGTGGAATTGCCCATCATACTCTGCAACAGCTCATAAATGGCATTTTCTCAATAGTGGTCTTTGTTCTTCCTACCCTGATGCTTCTCCTCCGTCTGTACTCTGAAATACAAGAGATTATTGTCTTCTCCCTACTGGGAACAAGTTTCATCCTACTTTCTCCACAGTAAATCCAACTGTTCTAGAATTTTGTGTTTTGTTCTGTTATTTTTGTTTGTTTGCTGGTGCTTTGTTTGGTTTGGTTGGTTTTGTTTTGTTTTTCCTAGCCTGGTCATGTGCTGTGATTTGCTTTAAACCAGCCCTGTGCAGAGGCTTAGTGGCTTCCCTCAGGCGTTGATTAGGATGCCTCTTAGAAGAAAAGTGGTGGTAAAATGAAATTGGTTTGTTGTGTTTGATGTCTGTAGTGATGGATGGTGTGTGTCAGATGATAGGTGAGTAGAAGGTGAGATGTGCTATCTGTATAAATGGACAAGTCCTAATTGTTCTCTTTCATCAGCAAAAAGTGCTGCTCCCTGCCTCATCAAGAACTGAATGTCTCCAGTGCAGGGACCAATTGCCAGCTCTTTTATTCCCCCAGTGCTAATGCAACGTAGACCTGTCTCTCCTGTTCTGCCTACTCTCATTCTTCCCAATCCACGGTTTATTAGCTGAGAACCATGTGATCTCTGTCAGTATAACTGAGTTCTCATAAAGGAGTTTTTTTATGATGCACATAATATATTTAATGTAGACTTTACAGAAATACAAATTGGCAGGCAAAATGAATGCAAAGGAATCTGTACTTTATTGTCAAATAGTTCTGTATTGATTCATAATGGGAATGGATTTTACTTGGCAAGATATTGTGTTTTAACTGCATAATCAGAAAGCAGGTTTACCATGAATAATAAACATTTTAAGTGTAAGACAAGGTCATCTGGCTCACTCTGGTTCACCTCCTAATAAAAGACATGTATCAGCTGTGTTGGAGTAGAAAGTTGTTGCTGTTCACTTTTTAGAGTGGAATATACATGTGAAAAATCCTTCCTCGTTACTCTAATTATATGTCATAGTATTGATAAGAAAAGCAAAAAATTTCCCCAAAGAGTGTTTTGAAAGATTCACAGAGTAAATAGGAACACAAGTGCATAATGAAGGCTACCAAGTCTTTTATGTGATGCTGCTTTGATGAAATAACCTCACTGATATAAGGCTTCATCTAAGAACACCCAAAAGCCTTTCTTAATTTGTTAATATGAGTAGGTCAGTGTTTGTTTGCCAGGTTCTGTGTAGAACCAACTCTTCATGCTGCTTCATCTTGTTTGTGATACAGGGTCACACAAGTACACAAAGTGTAGACCTCAGAGTCAGGTCTAAAACAAATATCAAAAAGCTGCTTGAGTATCTTAAAATGATTCTTGAATAAATTAATGCAGGATATATTTCAACCTTTCAGGAAAAAGAACTTAAGAAGAGAAAGTCTGAAGTGAAGTTGGCATTAGCTCCTCTGAAGGTACTGTGTTTTCCTGAATGCCAGGGCAGGAGGTTTGCTCACAAGCTTCTGTGCCTGTACCTCCTCCTGCAGTTGCCCCTGATTTAGCTGTGTGCTACTGGGCTTCAGGTTCAGGCAAGGGCTTGCTGACATTGTTGCGATGGGTATTCTCCAGACTGTCGAAAAGGGGACCTTGCACGTGGAAAGGGAACATCTCTTTTCAGTCTCTATGTGCACGTTTTGCTCTGGCAAGGTTCAGAGGCACCTAATGGAGTAGAAACATAGCTTTTGGTCAAAACATGAAATTACAGATCAGACACAAAATATAATCTTGCAGTCTCAACAGGGAGTGAAATCACAGAATCATAGAGTGTGTATGTGTTCATGCCACGCAGGCTAAGCTGGCTTGCCTCACCCGAAAGTGCCAAGAAAGGAACAGCTTCATTATGAGGATGCATGGTGAATTGCACAGGCATGGAATTATTAACTCTGCATTTGATGAAGAGCTGAAAAACTTGGTGAATGATGTGACCCTGGCAGAGTACATGGTCACTTTTACACCAGTGTGTGATCAAGAGGTAAGTGCTTGTGCTTCCTTGTAGGATCCTCATGTTTCCAGTATTAAATTAAGATAGAGATTCTCAAAGTGTTTAGTGAGATTCAGAGTGTAGTTATAAAATATATTTAATCACTTAATGTAAATATTCCCTCAAGCAAATCAGTGGAGTTGGACACTTTATTGTTGTTTTGGTCAGGGTTTAAATTTCAGGAGTTTATAGCAAAATGCATCAGTGCTCCTTGCAAAAAACACTTCCCTGATATTTTGACAAAGTATCTGAGTGGGGTAAAGCAACACATATTATTCAGATTCACTTAAAATATAAATTTTACTTTTTTCCTGCACGATGCATCGTTTCATATTTCTGAAGAAATCAGGAAAAAAAGGTCTACAGTGAATCCGTTTATGGTTTAAGTCAGTGAACATTTATATTAGAAAGGGAGTTAGTCACTTGTGTTGCACTGGCAAGAGAAAAGTGGAATACACCCTGTTTCACACCTGGTTCTGTTCAACATTGTCATTAATAGCTTGGATGCTGGGAATATACTTTCTAATCTTGGAGTAGCACCTACTTATAGACATTCTTAAGGACAGGAATCTGAATCTGGCAACCTGAAGAAACAGGAATTCCCTTGCAATATTTCAGTAACCATCAACAAGTTCTTTCTTTTCCTTATGATTTTCTGTCTCTTATTATTTTAAACAAAGCCTGCGATAGTACCCAAACAGTATTTGGTAATGTTTATGTCAAACATACTTAAGGAGAGTCTTGCTGGTTAAAAGTGGAAGAGAGGGGGAAATACTGTATTGCACATTTGTATAATATTGGGTGCCTACCACAAGAGAACAGAATACAAGTTCATACTATGTTTTGTACTTCATCTAACACAGGACACTGCAAAATAAGCAGATAAAAATAATTTATCTTAATGACACTGACATTTTTCATCAGCAGAAGTAAGGATGCTTAAAATGGGCATATGCTATAGTAAATCCACAGGATTATTTTTCTGATTATTTTACATTTTTACACACTGAGTGGTATTCTGTATCCTGCTGACGATGCTTATTCTTACAGTGTTATTAAATATTGCAAGCTATCACTCAGTCGTATGTGTTTCTGTGTCAAGAAGTAATATAACTGTATGTTAAGGAAAAAGGTAGATTGGTTCCTGCTTGCAGACGGGACAGGACTCTGTCTCTTGGTGTCTCCTTTGAGTACCTCCGGTTTAGGTTCACTACTGTCTCACCTGAGCTCACTCTGCACAGGAGTGTTTTACATGACAGCACTTAGTAACTCATCTGTCAGAAGGGAGTCAGTACTCCACTGCCTTCAAATGTTCTCAGTTTTCTCACTGACACTGCTGTGATAGATGAACATTAGCAAAGCTACCCAATACAGTAAATATCAAAATATTGTGCACACCCATACTATCTCCCTGAATGTCTAATTATCACAAAACTTAGCAGGTCCAACAGGAGAAAATTAGATTGAATCTATATTCTGACAACCAGTGAGCTCATTTGCAACATAGGGCCCCACATTAAATTCACTGCTTCAATAGATATTTAGCTATTCATACTAAATGGAGCACAACCCCCTTCCCATAGTATCCAGCACTGTAGCAGTCAGAGGGATTCAAGCCTGGGTTTTTGATCAGGCAGGGAACAGACTGGCTCTTACTGGACACTGAATTTCAGACCATTCTGGTCTATGATAAGTAATTCCACATGTAACAGGGGAAATCTTTCCTGCCAAGGAAGAGCTGTATGCTCCCATGAAAAATGTATGTTTCTATGGATCAGGTTTCCAATGGAAAATACTTCAATGAGAAAATGTCCAAGTTTCACTACTAATTTAATAATGGTTACAATTAAAAAAAAATAAGAAAGAGAGGCTGTTTCTATTCATGTGATACATTCCTTTGGTTTAAAAAATCCGGTACTGAATTCTGGAGTCATATGTTAAAATGAACTGACTTTTCATCTTTGAGGCTTCATTTCTTGCTTTCAAGTCTTATTCTCACTGGAATTTACATCTAAGATTCCAGAGCTATGCCTAACTTCCACTTACATAAAATTCCTTTGAAAGTTCATTTCCTTCCTTCCCCTCAGTTTTTCACTTCTACATAATTCCTAACATTTGAATACTACTAAAACCTTTTTTTTTTTTTCCTTACATTTAAGATTTGCAATTGGCTTTACTCATTTCTGGACCCACTGACACCACTGGCAAATGGAAGGCTGTCACACATTGGCAGCAGACCTCTGTGCTTTGGTTTACTGAATTTCAACTGAAAATTTGCAGTGATGCATGAAGGGCTGATCCAGAGTCCTTTGAAGGGAAAGGCACTTCAGTGCCTGGCCTGTACTCTAGTTCAGTAAAAAACTTTGAGTCTTGTTCTCAGAAAAAAATATATATTAAAAGTTGTATTAAAAACTTTATTTTTTTTCTTTTTTGTTTGTACATGGTATTACCTGTAGAGTGGATAGATCTTTCCTAGTTGTGTGCTAGGACTCTCCAGCTTCAGTGGAGGACTTATGGGCATCACCAAGCTACTCATACTTAAAGACAAAAGTGAACTTCAGTTCTTTGCTCATTCAGGACACAGTGGATGGTTGATCATTTCCTTCTGTTTACCGGAAGAATTTTCTTCCTAATGTTCCTCCCAATTAAAATACTAAACCATGAAGACATTGTTATGCAAAACAGTTAATTTTTGGAGCTTCTTTTCAGACTTCACTTTGAGTGTTTAAGGCTCTGTCCTCAGAAATGATAAATCCCTGTTGTCCCAATGCCCTTATTTTGCTGACTAAATCAAGACTTCTAATCAGTTCAGTTTAACAGAGCATCATGCATTTTGAGGTTTGTCATTCTTGATTATTTTCACAGCCCAGTGTCACATTCAAATATGACTGAGAAATAAAATTTGCTTGAATTCATGTAGTGTTTCATGATTTTGTTCAAGTGGTGTGCTCTTCACTGTGAAAGACAGTTTTCCTTATCTTAATATTCTTTTCAAGTCCCTGTAAAGAGGACTAGGTTTTGAATTACTTTTCCTAACCATAAAACTGTACACCATGAAGCTCTTTATTTGTAATTTAGTTTAATTGAACAATTTAGTATAATTTAATTTAATTTTACTGTGGTTTTATTGTAATAAAGATGTATGATTGCACAGAAAGGGCTTTATTTAACTTCTTTTTCATTGACAAAGCTATGTCACTGTAGTGAAAGCAAAAATACTGCACATGATGATGAAGAAATGCTGGCTCTCAGTTTTGAAAAAAATAGCCTTTTGAGGGGTCATAAGAATGACAATGTATGTCTAATATGGACTTGAAATTTCTGGAGGGATGAGAAGTTAATTTCTAAGCCTCTGTGATGTGTTTTTCTTTTAAAGATTTAAACTGAGAAACCATTAGAGCTCCTTGGAGTACAGCAGTAACAAATTTGGGCAAAAGAAATACTTTAGAAACTTCTCTTACTTTGTGTTTGGAAAATGGAAAGCATGTGGCTGAAGAGGACACATTCCCGGGACAAGGGCTGCCTCCAGTGGGTGCATGTGGAACTGGGCACTGTGCCATAGCTGGGATTCACACACCCAATGTCAGACACAGAATGTGTCCATTTTTGGCCTTTTGTCATGTCCCATTTCAATCATCTCCTTTTAAATCCTGATTTTTTATTTTTTTTTTTAATTGGAAAGACCTTGACCTCATCTTTCTTTTCTTGCTTTTGTAGAATTAATTCATGGACATGATTAACAGTTATTGTTTTTCTGCCTTTCCCAGTGAAAAGAACACAGGACAGCATTCATTCATCAACTGGTCTTAGACATTGATGTTCACAGAATGTCTAACAAAAAGGACTTGGATTTGGTTTACAACAGCTACTTGGGCTGGTAACAGTAGGAAACAAGAGAAGATGTTCCAGATAACTCATAGGAAGTGTAAAAGAGGAGGCTTTATTTCTTCCTGAGTTTAGGTGTGTCTACCTGCAGTTTAAGAAGCAGACTTTAACCCAGTCTGACTGGCTTGAACATGAGGCAGTGTCCATGCTACATTTGATGTACCAGAGAACTATACAGTGGAGCAAGTGAGCTTGGCTTGCCCTTCACATGGATACAACCCAGCCAGGACTTGGGTACTGTCCAGAGAGCACTGTAGTATTTTGGGGCCTTTTTTCTCTCTTTTGGGGTATGTGTGGAGAAATAGGAGTATTCTTAATTCTTTCCCTCAAATGATCGATCCAACAGCCTCTGTCCAGATGGCTGTAATGGAAAATGCTGCTGTACTCATCCACTTCAATTTCTCTTGTGCTGGAAGGCTTTGACTTGATGATGTATTTTATATATTCTTCCCATAGTGGATCTGAAACCATTGTGGCTCTTTGCCCTCCTTTCTCGGGGCTGAGAGGCAATTTGTGCAAGGAATATAGGGATAAATGGTAGTGCTTTTTAATGCTTTCCATACAGTCATCTTAAACCTTATGGATGGAAAGCTCCAGGCAAAGAATGTGTCCAGTGCAGTGAATTATTTGTTTTATAGAATAGGGAATAAATGTGATGAACGGCATAGCTTAATTCTTCTTTCTGTCAAGGAATTTCTTCTGAGATACATTTTGGTAGCACAACGCTTTTTATTTGTTTATTTGGTTTTATTTCTGCTTATTACATTCCAAGAAATCACTTACTGCTTTCCCGAGAATCGTATTTGAAGGAAACAGGCCAGACATAAAATTCTCTGATGCTCTCCTTCAAATGGTTTGTGTGTGGCTGGTGAGGTCAGAGGCTTTTCCGGTACTAAGGTTGAGATACATTTCATGTTTGATGTCTGTACTTTAGTCAATCACATCCGTGGCAGTTTACCTATTTATTTTCTAGTTAATGCAGAGAAAGAGGTACTGCCAAGGAAGTATCCAGGCCATTTTACCTACCTGCTTACAATAAATGTGAATGACCGTGCACTGGAAGAGGTTGCCCAGAGAGGACACAATCCTGTGCTATGTGTTCTGTGGAGGTTGGACCAGATGACTCACTGAGGTCCATTTCAACCTCACCCATATTGTGATTCTGTAATAAGGTGGGAAGAGTAGTAGATGTTGGACTCCATTGGTTGAGAAGAAAGAGTTATGCTTTGGTCAGGTGAGTCCCACCTTCAAAGGATATAACTTAGGGCTTTCAATCTCTTTGGGACAATGATGATCAAGAATGAGGAATCTTTCAAGAGGCTTTTTTTTTTTTTTCTGACATTGCAGAAAATGTGACTTCAATCATTAGAATTCCAAGTGGGTTAAAGAGCAGGTGTTATTTAGTAATTTTTTTAAAGAAAGGTAAAATCCTCTGCTTAGACAAGTTTTTTGATCTTCGGAAAAATTATTAAAAATACTAAAGGGCATAAAATACAGATTAAAGTCAGTTAATGGCAATCTGGGCTTTCCACTGAAATAACTGATAAAGCTGTTCAATAATCAGGTAAATGCCTGCTTGTACAGAGGGCATCTCAAGAATTTGTGGTGGCTGAGGAGATGGTCCATACTCAAGATTACTGCCATTTTAAAGTAAAATTGGGTTTGGTTGACAAAGATTTAGATCTGTTTCCTGACTGCATACATAATATAGCAGATATTTTTTACTGCAGATATTTTAGCGGTGGTTTTTACATGGTAATTCATGGGCAGCAGCATGCATTTATCTAGAACAGTAAATGCCAGTAATAGTAATAGCCATGATTAAAAAAGAAAAGCTTTAAAAAACTAACCTCCCTTTATTTTTTGATAAATGCTAGAATTTAGATTAAGATAAAATTTAAAATGAAAAATATCCAGATGAATTAAAACATTTTATTTTTATCTCTGACATCACTGTCTTTTTTTTTTTTTTTAATGTTGGGGGAAGGTGATGGTTTTTGATTTTAATGGCAATGCTTTCTGGAATTTGGCATTATGCAAGTTTAAATTCTTTGCAATTTGGTGGAATATCACAATATTTTCATTTTTTTCTGGGTGGGCTAATTTGTGGAAAATTGAAAGGAAATCAAAAAACATCAAAGGAAAACAGAATCAATATTGTAAAAAGAATTAAAAATAACAAAAGAAAGCAAATCTAAAAAAAGCAGAAATTAATGTCTAGGCATTGAGGCAGAATGCAGAATTTTTGCTTAGCTGCATTCATAGTGCTGTAGAAAATATGATCTTTAGTATTTCACGGTCTTATGGAACACCAAAGATGAGCCTTTTTGAGAGAGTCATACCAACTTTCAAATACAGCACAGACGATACTGTGAAAGCTTCATCAGCGTGGTAGCATCTTCACTCACCAGGGCTTGCATTAACCCACCTTTCTGCTGAGTTTCACTACTTTAGCTGCTGAAGAATTTGCTAATTCCAAGAGGCAAAAGAGTTTGTGAGTAAAACAGTTGAAGGAAAGGAATGACCCTGCAAGGAGGTTTTTTTTCTAGAAATGACATGTTCCGGTGTCACAGCTTTGATTTGGTGCTGTGTTTTTTCTGGTAGCTTTACCAGTTCTCCTGTCTATGGGGAGGGCAGTGATTTGCCTTTGCATGGGTCACTGAGCTAGAACTTGTTCTGCTCCTGCTGGCTCTCATCTATCACCATGGATGCCTCTAACTGTGCTTCCTGTAGTGAGGAAATTCTCATCAAATAATTTTAGATCCAATCTCTTCATGCCTCAAAACATTTCAGGGCTGCCCTTTATGACCCCTCCATTGCTTTCAGCCAGCCAGCATTTTTTGTGAGCGCTGGGGAGAGATACTGCACTCGTAACCTTGGTTAGAAACCAAGGACTCCTGGATCTGCCTTGGGCTTCTGTGTTTTTAGGGGAACCTGCAAATGTATAGCTTTCACTTTCCACCTGATCTATGCCTGTGATGCTAGGATATGTTTGGGTATTCATGCGACCTTACCTAAATAAATACAGTATCCGTATAGTGTCACAGACTCCCTCTGTAATCAGCATAGAAAAAGTAAGTCTTTTATGGAAGAGCAGCAATCTAAATTGTGTGCCCAAAGTTGGTCAATATGAGTGATCTTTAAATTCCTGTATGTCCCTGTCTTGTTCCGTGGCCTGTTGTTCAGCTTGAAGTAAATGATCCAGGTGGCAGCCGCTCCTGGGCAGTGTCTCAGCTGGCCAAACATGCTTGTGCTGGGTGCATTAAGGAGACCAATGACTACAATTTACCAGCATTGGTTCCCTCCTCTCATTGTGGGAAGCCAAGAACAGGAGATGAAATGGGATCAAAGGCAGTGTTAGTGTTCATTGCTTCTGTTTACCACTCACCTTTTCCTATGTGGTGTATCCTGGGGAAGCTCCACGGTGATCACTCTGAAAGGCAGTGAGACTTATTCTCTGGGAAATGGTAACAGCTTACACAGTGTGCATTCTTCTTCATGTCATAACACAACTGTATTTAGATGCAGGAGCTTGTCAGTAAATGCTCATCTCTTTGATGGGTCATTTAAGAGCAATCTTACACCTCTGTGGCATTTCAGAGTGATTTATGTTTTTTTTAATGGACACAAGTGATGGAGCTGTAGCTCATTAAAGATGCACAGAGCAAAACTAATATTATTTTAAGTAAAATGTATTTTATATTAAGTAAATCTTCCTGACCTTTGATATTTATAGTATTTTCATTTCTGGAACTTTTTCAAGAGACAACAAGGTGATAATGCATAATCAGGTATATTAATTTTAGAAATAAATAAACAAATAAGTCTTCAAAAACCCAAAGGCTGAACCTGTTGTTAGCAATCTTAAATTTGTTTTTATGTGCAATTGCAAGAAAAAAACAGTAACAGTGATCCTGTAGCTATAATAAATTTGTATTTTGATGATAAAATGTTACTGCCATGTGATAGTCATTTCTATTCAGGGAGATCTATTCCTGCTTGCAACTGTCATGAAAAAGTGCATAATTAAACTGCCATTTCCCTCTGAATTTGGCTTCAACTCAGTGAAGATATTTGAAAAGGATAGTTTGCTATGGTGTTAAAGTTGATTTGGAGGTGAAATAAGATCAAGTGCATTAATACTACATTGATGCAGACTAGGAGGGTCTGCATAAGAGTTCAGGGTCTGCATAAGAGTTCATGCAGTTGAACTAACACACTTTTGAAGTTCATTCAGTTTAACTTTCTTGGGCATTCATAGGTAGACAAACCTGAATTAGTTGTGTAGTGTGGACTGAGAGAATATGTGTGTAAAAGAATCATGTTAGAAATTTTGAGATTCTTCAAGAGGAGACCTAACATGAGACAATTTTTAAAATTAGTAATTTTTGTCTACTTTTTATCTAGGTTTTTTTTAATATCTCAAGACAAATTTTGGGCTACAGTTAAAACTTCAAGTTTTTTTGTTTGTTTCTTTTGAGGATGAGTTGACAAGTACAGGATTCTTTTTTAAACAGGTGCAGAAATGCTTCACATATAAACTAATTGGCATATTATCTTTTTTTTTCTTATTTTGATAAATATAGTTTATTTACAGCTGATTTCTGTGAATATTTCTTTTAATGAATTCATCCAAATGGCTTGCACTAAATCCAAGGTAAACAGCACTGAAAAACTTCACCTAGCTTGAATTTCTTAAAATTGAATTTTCTCTTGCAGATGCTACCTTTTTCCACAGACATTTCACAGGCTAATGGACAGCCACTGAATCACGAAACACCTACCAAAGTGAATGGGATGACTGGGTCAATACCTGCAAACTCTCAGCAAGAGGCAGATAGCACCCACAGTTCTCACATCACTTCAAATGTGTATGCTGGTTCTCCTATCAAATTAACAAGCCCGGAGAGGATCATAGCCCTGCATCGAGAACTTAGACAAAACCACTGCAGAACTTACCAGGTCAGCACAAATGTTCTCTGTAAATGTAAAAATGTTGCTGGTTTCAGTGTAGTGAAATCTATTATTCTTGGCAGAAGATACAGATATATGAATGATTCCTTCCATTCATGCACATTTGATTGTTAGTTTAAACAATCCGACAATAATAAATGTTTGAAGTTTTTCGTTATATATTTTCTTCCCCATTGTTTAGGTGTGGCTTGAGGCTTGTAAAAATAATTAAAAGGTTTTGCTTTTGCCGTGGTATACTTTCTGGTAAAACAATCTTTGTTGGATGTTTAGAAAAAAAAAAAAAAGTTGTTATGTTGATCTTGTCCTACCTTTTTTCCATGCAAAGTTTTTTTGGGTTTTTTTTTTTTTTTTTTTTTTTTTTTTTTAGTGATCCAATTATTCCTGTGCCCTGAAGCTCTTTATAGTAATTTCCATTAACCGCAGGAATCCTGTTAAAAACAGAGCTGATCAATTGCAATTGCATTTGTGACAGTCTGCTGCTAAACTAAATAAGCAAGAGATTTCACCCTCTCTGAGACAACATAACCTCTCCATATTTGTATGGAAAAAAAACCCCAAATATGCAATTACTGGAGCCAGTTAGGTAGAGTAGTTAGAAATATTACTCTACTGAATTTTATTTATAATCTTGGATGAAAATAAATGTAATAAAACAAACTCATTGTTTCTGCTTTTGGGATTAATGAAAAAAACATGCAAGATACTGAAATATCCTTTTAGTTAAGAAATTTATTATACCATGAGATGGTGACTCAGAATTCTGCTAATATGTTACTTAGTCCATGAACAATGCAAATTGAGTTTCCTGCTCCTTTTCTCTCTCATGGTCACACAGCTATTCTGGAGGGCAGAATGCAAGTAGCTGTTTGATTGACCTGACCTTTGTGAGCTCAGAGATTGTTTTCTTATATAAATCACATGAGCTGTAATTAAATCCCAATGAGAGCAGGACATGGGCCTCACAGAGAATTACATGAGAAGCTATGGCTGAAATCAGCCACAGTGCATGGAGTGGCCTGTTTCCCCATAACATACAGAAACGCACTGTGACATCCAAGGTTATGGTTTCTCTCCTTTCCTCCTCAGATACCTTCAGTTGTGTCCTCCAACTCAAATCCACAGGCTGATCGCAACTTGCCCATGATCCATAAGGAAGCCCCTTGGCCTCTGCTGTCAAGGATGAGGGATGCACTGGTGCCTCTGGAGCGTGGTGTCTTCTCGGCCACGAAGGGGAGGGATCGGTTGTCGAAATGTGATGATGTATTTTGGGGTCAAATAGGAAATCAGCATGCAGGTGCTACTCCCCAGGGAACGAAACAGAAAAGTGCCATTATGAATAAGGCATGGCTCTCTGGAGAAAAAACAGATGGCCCAACCTCAGCTACCACAGCAAAAAGCTATTTGTCAGACGTGTTGTCAGCAAGTAATAAAGGTTGAAATCCTGTGGGGAGAAATCAGCTGCATGGGAAAGAATAAAACCTGCAGAAATAAAACAAGGTAAAGCATCTGAGCAATGTGATTTTTCCCATTGCTACAAAAGTACTAATAATTTTTAAAACAAAGATACTACTTAACATGGCCTAACAACTAGTTAGAGATGACTGAAAAATTTACATGGAAAATAACTGCAATACTTTTTATGATCAAGATTTTTTTAGAGCATTTGAGATAATTGAAAACTATGGATTTTTAATTAGCTGGGCAGCCTCCCCATTTTCTTTTGTTTTTCTTTTAACTGAGACTGTGAACCAATCTATTAAATCACTTTTACTTATATGTATGACCCATTTCTTCAGTGTGCAGTGGCAGGTTCTGAAAGAACATCTACCTTGTGTGACTTTCATCTGGAACTTCAGGAAATGTAGCGTCATGGACTTCCTATAAACTAATTTTACAGAAATTGGAGGGTCGTTTTGCTGTGTTTCTTCAGTCTTGGGATACTTTTAAAGATTGTGTCCTCTTTTTTTAGTCGACTGAACTACAGCAGGATACCCAATGTATTACTGCAGGTAATAGATACTGTAGTATCTGTAAAATAGTATTCTTACATTGTTACTTTTAAGTAACAAATTGCAGCTTAACTTGAGTAGTTTTATTGGACAAGTCCACAACCACTTTCTTTAGGGGACTGTGTGGGCATCATGGGTGCAGTAACATCTGAGTTCAAGGGATGGATGATTCAGACTGCACCCTGTGCTGCCAGACCCCTACACCTGCCGCAGGGAGAAGTGGATGGGGTGCCAGGCCACCTGCACTGGCACATCCAGGACAGTGCTTCCTCGAAGCCTGGCTCAGAAACAGCTGTGACATGGGGTGCATGAACCTTTGATGGATCCTGGCTAGGGAAAGGAGGAGGGAATAGTGTGTCTGTGCAGGTACATGTTTGCACTAATGCTGGTTGACTCCAGGAAGTTTAGCACAGCATGGTTGTAAATTCCTCAAAATACTTATTTGTATTGTGATCCCACCAGATTTAATTCCTTTGGAAAACCTCCATTATTCATATCTCCCAGTTTTCTTTATTTTTCATCATTTATATTAGAAAAGGGCATTAACACACAGTAATATATGGCACAGTTCCTGTGCTTTTCCTCTGCATCCATTGATTACCCCAGTTGGTTCACATTATGTTTCTACTTTGTTTGATGCTGCTTTTTGGAAGCCAGAAATAAAATGACTGGTTTTGATGAAATATTAATGTGAATACTCACACTTTATTGTGGAAACCCGCCTTCAATTGCTCAGTTAGGTAGTGGTGCAGTTGCTTACAGCACTAACTGAATTGCTCTTCATCCAACATATCTTTAGGAAACACACACGGCATACCAAGGAAATAGTCTCTGGAAGCGATATTTTTGAGTGCTATCTAAGCAGAGGAGACACCAGTGATATTCAAAAAAATGGGCTTTTTCTTTCATGTATCTTTCTTTTCTTCCTAATGCCAGGCCAGAACTTCTAAAGACAGATATACTTGCTATCAAGCCATCTGCTGCCCTGTCAAATGTAAAGATATTCTGATGTGCAAAACCACCTGTAAATATTGAATGTGGTGACTTTCATGTTGTTAAAACGGTGCTCCAAGAATTAGCTCTTGTGAGAGCTTTTTGGAGCTTTTTCTTGCTGACAGTGAATACTGGGCCTGGTAGTTCAGTCTGAGGTCATAATGCATGAAGTGTGCTAATAATAAGGACATTAATAATAATACCCGATGATAATATGATAATATGATAATAAGCCTTTGTTATCCTGGTGTAGCTATCTACTTTGTGTTTGGGACTATAGTAACTATGCATGAAATTAAGTCTTTGTCAGTCTAGTCCCTTTCTATCAAAGATAAGTGTGATTTATTTTGAATTGTAAGGCTTCATTTTAAGCTAATTAGGCTATTTGGCCCCATCCTTCCTCCTGCTGGAATTAATAATTTCCTGAAGAAGGGCTGCAGGCGCACAGAGGTGTAGATGGAGGAACAGACATTTGCAAGGATATTACCTGCACTGAAGCACTACAATGCAAAATGGACTCAGGCAATTCATCCAGCAAATGGATTCTGTGCTGGCACTTCATAGCTCTGCTGCACAAGTCACAGATTTCCTGTAGCCCCTTGTGGTTTTAATTTTTTAGGACATCCTACTTCATTTCTTCCTACTACAAAGCATTGTTTAAAGATGTGCAGATACCACAGTTATCATTAGGCCAGCTGTTTCAGCTGCTCTTCATTTCTCTTAAGTAAAAATGTGATAGTTTAGACACTAGAGTGGAGGAATGCTAATAAATTAGCAGCAATCAGTTTGAAGTGCTGCGTACAACACCACTGGAAAATTCGGGCCAGCTAAAGGTTTTCTCTTTTGAACCTCTGTCCTACTCCATTTTTCCCACTACTGAATGGGCAAATGGGAAGTGATAGTCAGCTTATGCCAAATAATTATGCACTAATTGATCTACAAGAAGATTAGATGATGCATTGCACCATCAAGCAAGGATCTTCAAATTATTTAAACATGGTCATTTATAGAAACTTGACCCAAAATGTACAGTGGGGGACCAGATGGTTTCTATATCAGTGTCCTGTCAGGCTGAGGTCCTTTGGGAGTCTGAGTTTGCTGAGTGACTCATTAGAAAAATTGATTTTGCCCCTTATTCTATAAATTACTTATTTTGGTTTGTTGTGTTTATTTTAATTGAGGGTTATCAGTAGCAATGTGCTTACCGAGCACATCTGAACAGTTGACTGGTCTTGAATCACCTGTGATCTGCTGTTTGTCATCCATGGACCTGCACGAGTCAAATGGCATTATCTGTACTTGACTGGATGATGAGGATGCTTGGAAGGAAGCTCGGTGACAGCATGCTTCCTACTGACAGATGCTCACTGAGCGTGCTTCTCATTCAGACAGACTCTTCCACTTCCAAAGAAATTGTTTGAAACAGCACAGAAAACTATTTTCTAAGATCAGTAGTTAGCAGCAAATGAGTGTTTATTAACATATTCATAGAATTACATGGAGGCAGTAACCTGAAATGGTGCCTAGTGCACTTTCTTCCAACATTGAATAAGCAGTTTTCTGTAATCAAAGAAAACTAATAGTTGTCCTGCAGTTGTGCCTTATCTGTTTTGCTCTTTATTGGTAGGAGAATGTAATGCAGTTTTTAAGATCATATGCAAAGAAACAGAAGAGCCACAGTGACAGATCATGCATATTTTAGAAGAGTTATCTTTAGTCGATGCAATTCTTGTATTAGACTACTCCTTCTACTCCTCTTATTTTTCAGGAAAATAGCATTCATAATATTTTAAAAGATAGTTAGTTGCCCTGTATTTTGTCTACACTCACCTGTGCATGCAGTCTCACTTAACTAGAAAGAATTCGTTATGCAAGGTCGAAAGGTGAAGTCACTTGCCAGTTAGATTTTAGAAATGTCTAGAACAGACATGCTTTGATCAGAATCAGTGGAAGGAACAAGATCAGCATCCCTCTTTGAGAACTGATCTGCTGGAGAAGGCCTGGAAGGCACTGGAAAGATGTCAAAACTCACTGTCTTTCAAATAAATGATACCAGTGTCAACTCTAGGTTCTGCTGGATATTAAACATTTGCAGAAGGTGAAGAAGGGTTGCTCCTGAAGCTTTCCACTCTCTATCTATTGCTTGTCTTTTGCTATGAAAAGCTTTTATGTACGTAGGAAATTTGGGGGTCAGATCTTATGCTCAGTCTGTGATCACTCAGTTGCATGCTCAGGGCTGGTATTTGTACGAGTCAGAACAAAAACAAGTTGCCCATGATTAAATCTTCTCTAGTCCCTAATAATCCCTGTTTATATTTTTTGAGTAGTAATTCTGATTTGTAAAAGTACTATCTAATACCTTCTTAGCAACAGCCTTTTCATTGAGCCCTTAAGCTGATGGATATTAAAGCCCCTAATTAAAACCTGATAATGTATGAAAGATTTCTATAGTGCAGGCCTTTCTCTTAAGGCCTGATTAAACCAAGAAACTCATACATCTGTTTGCACAACTATATTCTCATCAGGTCAGGCACCTTGCAGCACTGGCTTAGGTTCATCCTTCTCACAGTAGCTTTTTCTTGGAAATGAAGAGAACAAGAAAGGCCAGGACAGAAAATGGAGTATTTCAGAAACTTTGGCCTATTACATTTAGCTAGGAACGTAATCTTTCCCCATTCTGTGGCTCTGATGCTATCAGTCAGAATAATGGTGGACCATAGAATAATATGTTCATTTACATATAAATATGTATAAAATACTTCTGTGCATATGTAATCACTCTATATATATAGTTGCATGCAGTTTGGCATGAATAAATATAGTATAAAAAAATAGGGATAAGTGATTTTCTGCAGATCTTTCTTTTTTTCCTTTATTTTTTCCTTTCTCTCTTGGGCTTTGCAAATAGAAGTAGAAATATGAGAAGAGACTGATTTTTTTAAATTTAAACCTCAAATTAAGAGCAAACTCAGACTATACAGTGAAAATTGTGGTCGTACCTTGACTACGCTGCAGGTTAAAATCCAGGTTTGTATCAATCTGTCTTCCCTTTCCCAAATACCCTAGATTCCACTGGTGTATTTGCATGCCCCACTTGTCAGTCTAAGCGTAGATGGCAGTGAGACCAGGCCACTGGGAGATCCTTGCTCTATAGCAGTGTAAATCCCTGTTGTTTCCTGCTGCTGAAAGAGGAGAAGAAAAAAGATCAGTGGTTGTATAAAATATTGTTAGTACAGCTTGCCTTTATGTGCATAAACCATTGAACCTTTACTGGGTGGGAGTTAGGCACCACTAGAGAAAGTGTCAAGCTCCCACAGTGGAAGCCAGACTGACTTGCACCCTTGTTAAAGATCTCATGAACTGTAGCCACTGTCGTATTTCATGTAATGTAAACTGTCTGCCTTGGAAATCTTAATGTAGTGTGGCAAGTTCTTGAGAGAAAAAGCTATGACTGTGAAGTAAGCAGCTCTTAAAAAGGAGAGAGAAAAAACGAAA